GACTGCAGTTCAGTAGTGGACGAGCAACCAGAACTTCCCGCCAGAGTGTACAGCTGGTGAACGCGAAGAAGAAGAAGATAAGTGCAAGTGTTTTGGAGATAACTGGGGGTCATTGATGAGGCTACAGTGTTCGTGCTCTGTGAAAGGAGACTGGGTCATATGGGATCAAACCTTAGCACAATCAAGTTGTTCATCATGACTTTAAACACCCATTAAGGCAACAGTACTCTAAAACAAATTAAATTTTAAAAAATAAATTGTTTTTGCTATTTTAAAATATATGCATAACAACATAGTCTTACCTCCTGTTAAATAGCTTTTACACAATATCTTTAACATGTCAAGGCAATGCTGGTATGTGAAACTACAACATTAAAATACTAAATCAGATGACATATTATGACTAGATCAAAACATACAGGGCAAAGATCACTGCCACATGAAGAATATGCAACAACAACAAAAATAAAATACTTCAGATGTCAATTTTCCAATAGTCAGGAATGGAGAGGTTCTGACCACACCTGGACCAGGGTTCTTATTGGTCAAAACCTTATCTACATCTCTTCATGGTCTCTCTAAAAACAGGATCCCTATGTGTAACTGGGGCAAGGAGAGGGGATGGCAGATGTACAGATGTAGATAGCGTTGATGTTTCTTTTGAAGTCAGATACCTCTGCCTGAGAGGCAAGGAAAAAACCCATAAGCTTATTTCTTTGTGAAAAAGAAAACAAAAACCACATAATAAGTGAAAGAAAATATATAAGGCCACATTGTATGGATGGAAACAAGCTATAAACATTTCAAAATGAAGGTATTTCACATCATAAGTATCAATAAGGACAAGCAGCAACAGAGCATATAGTGTGGTTATGTGGAAGTGAAAGTTATAAAACTATATACTAGTAATATAGAGGGTATCGTGATGTCCGTGGCTTAGGCATTTTGTGTCTGACTCGTAATTCTAACGTACCGCGATCAAAACCCACTGCTGGCTGAGTGGATTTTTATCGTGGTATAGGGCGTCGCAGGTCGATCCAGCCTTAAATGGTGTATGTCCTGGGAAAGTAAAGGCAGCCGGCGTAATGCTGACCACATTACCCACCTGGTGCCGATTGGTCTGTGAAAATATGGGTTCTCTTCCTATAGTCGTGATGCGCCTAAGGCGTGAAAAGGAATCTTTACTTTTTACTTATACAGGGTATCGAGTATCAAAAATGATTGACATGATTTTAAACTGCTATAAAAGATGTATTTACTGGATATACACCGGGTGAAAAGGAAGAGTGGGGGGGGGGGGGGGGGGGGACTGGCAGACGCAGATAAGGTTGATGTTTCTTTTGAAATCAGAGTAGCTCTGCCATAGAGGCAAGCAATCAACACTCTGATAGCAAGTATGGGAAATCTGCACAATGGACGTGCACACAATATTCTAGTCCTGGAAAAAGATAGAAGTCAAGAAGTAAATGAACAATCAGAACTTTCCACCAAAATTTACAGTCGATGAACATTAAGAAAAATAAGTACCATAGTCACAGTGAATATTGTGGATAAAACCTAAAGACTATGTATGAGGAGTGGCTGGCCGAGTGTTACAACAACGTCAGACTCTCATGCGGAAGACCCAGGTTTGACCCCCAGGTAAGGTGTTGGAGATTTTAAACTGCAATAAAAAAGTATCCAATGGATATACACAAGTGGGGTCTTTAAATGTTAAGAACAATTTAAAGTTTTGTGCGACCTTGAGGGTGAAAACGGCGCTGAGCAGATAAGGAACATTCAGCACCGCAAAGAGAGGGTCGTTGCGGCAATTCAACTGTAACTCTAGACAAAATTTAGAAGACGCAGTATTGCAGCATAATAATTAAAAACCTCTAATGGTCATTTTTCAATAATATTTTACAGAATCAGTGAATATAGTCTTTTAGACTAATTCATTCTCTCATTCTTAATTACAGAATTGTATGCAAAGTCTCCCCGTGGAGAATGAAGTTAGAAAGATGGGGAGGACATGGAGAGAGCTCCATGTAATGGCGAAGGATAGAACGACTTGGCATGAGTTGGTTGAGGGCCTATGCTCCATTGGGGGATAAAAAGGCAGAAGAAGAAGAATTAGGGGTGTTTCCTTTGAAATGTTGGCGTCTGTGGATTAGATTTAATTCTGTTGTTTTCTACTTTATATAATTCTGCTTATGTTTAGGTAGCAAAAAGCAAAGTGGAAGTAAAGACGAGCTACTGATCTCATTAGTTGTTCAAACTTGTACTGTGTTAACTTGTTATTATCTTGTAGTTGTTACACTTGCTTTAAGTTTTCCTTGGAATGTTTAACAAAGATGGTCTCAGATTAGGTCATCTTAATATTTGCCATCTGATGAGGAAATTGCTCGAACTGTCCCTTATTCTCAATCAAAATTTCCATATGTTCGGCCTTAGTGAAAGTCGATTAACTGATAACATTTCAGACGACGACAAGGGCTTTAAAGTTTTTAGAAGCTTCCGCAGGAAACAAGAGATGGGTATAGCAGTCTACATTAGTAATTCACTTATGTTCACAGTAGGCACGACTTAGAAACTAATGAGGTAGATTGTACATTTTTAGAAGTAAACTAAAAAAAAGTCACAGACCCATCATAGTGGGTTATGTCTATCAAAACCCCAGCTCTGGAACCACGTGTAATGACAACTTAACCACCATGATGGATCCACTGTTTACCAGTACCAGTTTTAGGAGATTTTAATACTGATGCTTAAAAATCAAACAAAACGTGGGAAAATATAATCCCATCATACAATCTCCAAAAATTATGTATGACGTCAAAAGGGATTCCCCAACGGGACATGTCATTAAGTGCGTGGGCCAGGTAAGAGAATCAGGGATAAAGTGTGCGAGAAAAGAGGACTGCGAGTTCATGCAAGAAACATTGTTGAGTCTACTGGTTAGAAGGGGAAGGATCCAACATGCAATAGAAGAGTCAGTGATTCTGTGTGAGACAGTGATTCTGTGTGAGACAGTGATTCTGTGTGAGACAGTGATTCTGTGTGAGACAGTGATTCTGTGTGAGACAGTGATTCTGTGTGAGACAGTGATTCTGTGTGAGACAGTGATTCTGTGTGAGACAGTGATTCTGTGTGAGACAGTGATTCTGTGTGAGACAGTGATTCTGTGTGAGACAGTGATTCTGTGTGAGACAGTGATTCTGTGTGAGACAGTGATTCTGTGTGAGACAGTGATTCTGTGTGAGACAGTGATTCTGTGTGAGACAGTGATTCTGTGCGAGACAGTGATTCTGTGCGAGACAGTGATTCTGTGCGAGACAGTGATTCTGTGTGAGACAGTGATTCTGTGTGAGACAGTGATTCTGTGTGAGACAGAATTCTGTGTGAGACAGTGATTCTGTGTGAGACAGTGATGTGTGAGACAGTGATTCTACTGTGAGACAGTGATTCTGTGTGAGACAGTGATTCTGTGTGAGACAGTGATTCTGTGCGAGACAGTGATCTGTGTGAGACAATTCTGTGCGAGACAGTGATTCTGTGGAGACAGTGATTCTGTGTGAGACAGTGATTCTGTGTGAGACAGTGATTCTGTGTGAGACAGTGATTCTGTGTGAGACAGTGATTCTGTGTGAGACAGTGATTCTGTGTGAGACAGTGATTCTGTGTGAGACAGTGATTCTGTGCGAGACAGTGATTCTGTGCGAGACAGTAATTGCAAGCGGACAACTGAATCTTCTTCTTCGCGTTCACCAGCTGTAAACTCTGGCGGAAGGTTCTGGTTGCTCTACTGAACTGCAATCCAGACCTGAGTGTTGCGTGTGCATCAGTTTGGATTCTCTTGAATACAGACTGTTGGTTCCTTGCTCTCCGGCAGATGCACTCCGACTTCAAAGGAAGCTCCCCAATTAGTCGACTCTTATGACATGCTTTTGGGGAGGCAGTGGGTCTATTCTTGTTTTCCCCACAATGGGGCCCCGGAACCCACACGGGGTACAACTGAATCGAGTGACTGCTGTGCTCGAATCTTAATAGCTGAGAGTGGAGGGGAAAATCTGGCATGAACAGAAAGATGGCAGCAGCTGAGGGAAGCCGTAGATGAATGAACTGAACTGTTTCATTGTTTATCAGGAATGACAGCTGCAAATGATGGATTCAAGTTGTAACAGTGTAATACAATATTCTTAGTGTTTGAATCAATATGTATAACAAGAGAGACTGTCAGGATGATCAATGATAGCGACCCTGCTGACCAGGTTGAGGCATCAACAATAAACATCTGTGTGTGAATTCTGAGTGTCTTCATGTTTTGTCATTGATATACTAACATTGACAACTGGTGCAACACTGTAGCTAGACAAACAACTGATCCATTACAAATGGGAGGCTCTAAACGGAGAACTGGATCAGTACAGCTGAAGAATATTTTTATTTAGACATTAAATCCAGCGCAGGAGGACCTGAGACCAACAAACAATCGAAGATAAGATAGGGTAATTTCCTTATCACAGGCGGGGAATATGAGTCTGATGATCTGGCAATTTAAGAGTCGTATTTTAAAAGTTAATTTGTGACCTATTGTTCATGGATCAAACAACTAGCAGGATAACGACTGTTGTGGCAGGTATTTTCAGCAAAAGTCATTTTGTAACAAGAGACACTGCTATGATAGTCAACTTCCACCTACTGATGGGTAATGCAATATGTAAAGTTGTCTACTAAATTCAGAAAATAAAATTCCATATTTAGGGAAACTTTTTGGACAGTATTGATCTTCAGGGAAAGAATGTGCAAAAAACAGTGAACACCTCACTCTGCAAATAGAGTAAAATACAAACAGCGCATAAACTAAGATTATTACCAGATTGTCATAAGATTATCTACATACTGTCAACAGTTTTGACACCAGCTTGGCATCAGTTCATAAGATTATCAACATATTGTCCACCAGTTTGCACACTAGTTAGGGATTGCAGATTGCCAACAGACTGTCACCAGTGCTGACATCAGAGCTTGCCATTGCATCCAGTCAACTGATCCAGCCCACATCCAGGTGGGACAACAGTGACATCTAGCCAACTGATCCAACCCACACCAAGTGGGACAACAGTGACATCTAGCCAACTGATCCAACCCACACCAAGGTGGGACAACAGTGACATCTAGCCAACTGATCCAACCCACACCAAGGTGGGACAACAGTGACATCTAGCCAACTGATCCGACCCACATCCAGGTGGGACAACAGTGACATCTAGCCAACTGATCCAACCCACACCAAGGTAGGACACCAGTGACATCTAGCCAACTGACCCAGCCCACACTGAGGTGGGACAACAGTGACATCTAGACAATTGATCCAGCCCACATCCAGGTGGGACACCAGTGACATCTAACCAATGCTAAATAACAATACACATATAGCAGTGTTAAATAACACTACACATATGATGTTAAAAAATAGAACACTCACATAATAATGTTGAGAAACCATAAATACATGACAATGTCAAGTAAGGACAATGTTTCAGTGCATTCTTATTAAAATGTTTGGAGAATGTCTAAAAAAAATACATGCTAATATTTCTACAAACACAAAGCAAATTGGTTCACATCAAGATCTATTTGTAAAAATATGAAAATAAAAATAGCATGATATGCTAAAGAAAAATAAACAACAATTGGAGACTGCATTGGCATTCAATAAAAAAAAAAAAAAACAACCCAGACATACACGATAAAAAGCTGGCTTTAAGACTGCTGCAGAAACAGTTGTAGTTAAGAGACAACAAAAAGATAACGTATACTTTCTTGCGCAGCATACGGCTGTTAGGACCCTATCCTGTCTAGACTTCACGCTACTGTGTAACCACTGGGAGCTAGTCTGATAGACCCATCCACTAAATGTTGCTAGCTATCGACAAGAAAAGAATTCAAGCCACTACTATTAAGTCCACAAAGCACGAATAAAACTATGAGATCTTTCGATAATCATTTATCAGTTCAGTGACCCCCCGTGTGGGTTCCGGGGCCTCATTGTGGGGAAAACAAGAATAGACCCACTGCCTCCCCAAAAGCATGTCGTAAGAGTCGACTAATTGGGAAGCTTCCTTTGAAGTCGGAGTGCATCTGCCGGAGAGGCAAGGAACCAACAGTCTGTATTCAAGAGAATGAGATCTGTAAAACTGATGCACATGCAACACTCAGGTTCTGGAGCAGGACTGCAGTTCAGTAGTGGACGAGCAACCAGAACCTTCCGCCAGAGTTTACAGCTGGTGAACGTGAAGAAGAAGAAGAAGTTCAGTGACTTCTTGCTGACTCTCTTGGGCATAGACCTCATAACAACAACAATATCACATTTAAGTATTTGAAGAAACAAATTTTGTGTAATATTTACACCAATGCAGTTTTGGGTCGGTATCGTGTCTAGCCACATGTGACCCTCTCAACCCTTTTTTGTGTGATTCTAATACAGAAACCTGCTCACATTTCTACAAACACTGAACAGCAAATTGGTTCCCATTAAGATCTTTTTGTGAAATATTAAAATACAAATGATCATATGTTAAAGAAAAATAAACAACAATTAGAGACTGCACTGACATCCAATCAATAAAACAGACTTCTGGCCACATTCAGATGTGTGAAAATAGTTACTGCACTGAAGTCAACTGTGAACACTCAAAACTGCCTTTATTTACCCAATTAGTTTTTTTTTAAACCAATATGTTTTAGGCTCAGTGCAAAAAATAAACATAGACTTCCCCTGTGGAACAAGTCATCCCAGATTTCCCATCTGGATATAGATAGTAATAAGTGGCAACACAGACAGACCCAAAAGCAGCATGTATTAAACATTGATTCCAGTTTGACACATATTATTGGCAATTCTCCGATGAAAGGAATCTATGATGACCAGATGTCAAAAGATAATGAGACAGTCTTTGTCCGTCCTTTGCCGGGTACCAATATCGACAGAATGACAGTGAAAACTGCCGAATGAATCCGAACCACCATGTGAGAAGAACCACAGTTCATGTCGGTATCAATGACATTTTGAATAATCAACCAGTCAACATCTATCAATTATCTATATTATTGGTGTTAACACGCACCAAATTTTCAAAATCATCAATATTTTTATCTTCACTTCTACTGCCGTCTTATGGATCTCAACGATGTGTGGCAAATGCAGGTAGCATTTCAATATAGACATTCTGCTTAGAACAGAATATCACCTTTATTAACACATACACCCCACCTGAACTTGTCATCCGGTGCTCCTAACAAAAGGGTCTACAGAGATAAAATACAGTTCAAGATTAGGTAGTAGTATATTGGAGAAAAAAAATTCCCAAAAGTACACAACAATCAATGCCAGGCACTGAAGTACTTAAAATATGCCTGTGGCAAACATGCATCATAAGCAATATACTGCCCCCATCTTAATGTCAAACTTGAGTTCATCTCAAGTGCACATTTTTATGCATCAGAACTCATGTTCCATTTCCAGGTTGAAAATTCAGTCATCCCCAGTCAAATCTAAAGAAACACCCTTAAACAAGCATCTGCATTTTGGAAGAAGTCAAAATATCTGAACAACTATTGACTAAAGGCTACTGGCAAGCACCAATGAATTTTAACAATAAATTACAAACAATTCTTGTGTAGTTAAGTAGAAAAATATATTTTAAACGAAACGGCCTCACCTCAGGCTAGGTTCTAAAGTATTTGTGCTGCCTTTTCTAATCTGAGATGTACAAAGTAATGATTATCTGACCTTTGACTTCTGAAATAAATTACAAGCAACTCTCATGAAGGCTACATTTAAAAAACAAGAAGTTTCCCCAGATTCATTGGTCCTGCAGGTCAACAGCTTCCTGAAAATATAAAGCACAAAAAACATGTAAAAAGCCACGACTGGGTAATTAACAATGCAGGGTCTCCTTGATTTATGACTGAGTTCTGTTCCAAGTAACAGGTCGCAAGTTGAATTTATATTTTCAACACTATTTTTAAATAAACTGCAGTTCCAGACAGTCTCCCAGTTGCTGGTGTCTAAACCTGTATGCGCTCTGGGCATCACTCCTAGAAACTTTTTGACCCTGCCAATGCGGTTATCTTTCTGTATTCACTTTTGCAAATTTGTGTGTTTTGTGGCTTTAAGTGTGGATTTTTATAAGCAGAGAAGAAGGTATACTTGACATGGGTCAAAAATTAATACACAACCAATAGATTTGTATGGCTGGCAACACCAGTCATTCACCCCACCAGAAATTTATCTTTCACTTCATGTTTGAACGGATTTTTCTTTGTAACAGTGATTGTGTTTTCTGCTTTCAGAGAATTTATGAGTCACATGTTCTATGCAGGGTTGCCTTGTAATGTTCCATGCAGGGTTGCCTTGTAATGTTCCATGCAGGGTTGCCTTGTAATGTTCCATGCAGGGTTGCCTTGTAATGTTCCATGCAGGGTTGCCTTGTAATGTTCCATGCAGGGTTGCCTTGTAATGTTCCATGCAGGGTTGCCTTGTAATGTTCCATGCAGGGTTGGCTTGTAATGTTCCAGAGTCATATCTATGTTTACCATGTCTTCTTCTTCGCATTCACCACCTGTTACCTTTTGCGGAAAGTTCTGGTTGTTCACCTAATTCTGAACTGCGGTCTTGTTCTAGAACTTGAGTTTGATTGTGGAAAGGGGGGGGGGGGGGGGGGAGAGAGAAGAATGGTTCTACTCTTTTACCCCCAAAAAGCCAGCCACATAGGGAGATTACCATGATATCCATGTATGGGTACCATGTAATCGGTGTCCCACGTGTTCCATGTTCTATGTATAATTGCCATGTAATCCATGCAGGTTTGCCTTGCTATACATGTGGGGATATTGTGAAGCCATGTTCCATGCAAAGAAGCAACCAATAACAACTTCTCTCACTATTTCTTCTTCTTCATGTTCACTGGCTGTAAACTCAGACAGAAAGTTGTGGTTCTCCGTCCAACTCTGGACTGTAGCCTTTTTCCAGAACCTACGTGTAGTGTGCACATCTGTTTTACAGTTCTGACTTATTTGTTTGCAGATTGTTGGTTCCTTGTCTCTCAGGAGACGCACTCCAACTTCAATGAAGCCCCCGATCAGTCAACTCCTACAACATGCTTGTTGGGGAGGCAGTGGGTCTATTCTTCTGTCCCCCTCAATGGGGCCCCAGAATCCACATAGGACCTCGCTATTTAAAAGAGATAACAGATGGAAACACCACTATTGCTAATGTTGAGCCATGATTGATGCATATACATAAGCAAACATGATGTTGAGACTGACATCAAGTTAGCAACAGTGTGGGACACACATTTGCTGACTGCCATCGTATCTTTAATGAGTGTCAGTTATTCGTGGTGACAAAGTACTTCATTAAAGTCATGTTAATCATGGTGGCACCATATCGTTAATGCCAAGGAAATCATGTTGAATGAAGAATCAACATCATATCACTTGGGACACTCCAATAAGCGCTCCGTCCCTCTCCTCAGCAGCAAGCGAACAGTTCCAATTTCAAAGGCACTAGTACCTGTCCGACTGTACATTGATCTCACCTTTCCCTTGAGTGTTCAGTGCCGGCCAGATCCCCTGGTAACTGCTCGCAGCACCCTTCTCCTCAGACCGTAATGATCTACTTGTGCCCCCTCAGTATTCACTTGCTCCCAAAGGGTCCTCACACCACATCTATCTTGTCATACACTGATTCACCACTAAGTGGTGCAGAACCAGCCAGTCTATCTGCCTGCTCATTTCCCAACACACCAGCATAACCTGGACAAAAATATCCAAAGGACATTAACTACCCAGGACCTCTGAAGTGATGCTTGCCACTCTGCACGGAGCATGCCTGTCTCCTTCTTTCTCCACATACTCTGGGAGTCAGTTGCAATTATGACATGTGTGTACAGCTGATTCTCAATCCAACGGAAGGCAGCAGTGACTGCCTCTACCTCCATTCTCAAACTAGACATTGTAATATAATATGCAAGGCTCTGTTGCACTAAGTAATGCCCATTCGCTTCTGCTATTTCCTAAACCATGACATCATATAATTAATGCCATGTAAATTATGGAGACACCATATCATTAATGCCATGTAAATCATGGAGACACCATACCATTAATGCCACGTAAATCATGGAGACACCATATCACTAATGCCATGCTAATCATGAAGACACCAGATTATTATTTCCATGTTAATCACAGTTAAAACCATATCTTTAACTATGAATAACAATAAAGGTAATTTTAAAAGCAGGAACAGAAATATCAGTGTTAGTACATACCTCTTGCATGACTGAAGACAAGAAGAGAAGCTGCTGCTTGAGTGTCGCCAGATCTGTTTGCATCTGGCGGTAAACATCTTTTGGAATAGCCACACAGTCCACTCCTTCAATGGTCAACGATCGGGCAATGTAAAGGTCTGATACTAAGTTTTCTGTACTCTCCACCAGTTGTCTAGACAAGAAATGATGAACAATAGGATAGTAGCCCACAACAGAGTTTTTTAGGTTGATACAACACAGCTATTCTGAAGTTTAATATTAATATGTAATTAACTGCATCAGTCTTATCATTTGACAAGACTCACATCAGAAGCATATCATAGATTTTCTGCCCAGTAAATTGAGGTAACGAGCAGGTTGACAGAGTGGCTGCTGCCTTTCCTCTGGACGGCGAGCTATTTTTTAAAAAGTGGGCACGGTGAAGGCTCTTCATGGAATCGAAATGGACAGTGCAATAGAACAGATGGAGAATCAATAGACTGAAAGACTAACGGAAGTGCTTGCAACACTCAGGTTCTGGAACAAGACTTAGGTCCAGAGGTAGATGAACAACTAGAACTTTCTGCAGAAGTTTACAACCGGTGAATGCAAAGAAGAAGAAGATATATAAATAGTTTTAAAATGCCATGAGCCATGTTGCATGGAGGAGGGGAATGGGAATAAAGGGGAAAAATGACTACAGAAAGGTTGACAGCTAAGTGTTGAGATGAAGCACACTATATACACGCAGAAATCGTCCAAAATCCTATGTGGAACCCTTTTTCTTAACGCGAGTGGGTACTGCTAGTAACACTCAAACTAGGAAATATGGCTGACTGGTCGGTTTATTCTTTTAGGTCATGGCAAGTTTTGCTAATGACAAACAGCCGTTTCATCTTCTTCCTTATGCAGACAAAGGATACAGTTCTTCTTCTTAGCTACTGAGTCGAGTGCATGGCGTGACACTGTGAGCTTCAGATTTAAATTTGAAATGCTTTTTCACTGGGCCATGAACTAGGTTAGTTGCGTATCCTTTACAGGACATTGCAGAACCAACCCCAACAGCCCCTGGCTGTTGTGTGGTTTTTCTAGCCAAATTTACATCCGGTAGTTTGATATTGCTTTCTGGACGGTCGGCTTCTTTAATACTATTGTCAAAACTAATTCAAGGCGCATGACCCGCAGCTGGGATCGAACCCGGCATTACGAAGCGTTTGCATCGACTTAGCCACAGTCGACAAGCCATAAACTACATATTCAAAAATGGTGAGTAGCTTGTTATTATCAGAGATAACTGGTGGTGCTTTATGTGATAAATTGTCATGGACATTCTGTGTGGTTTTCATTGGCACAGGAATGAAACATGCTAAGATGTTGAAACTGCGATTTTCTGATTACCTGATGTAGCGTGATCTCAGTTTAAGTCCCATTTTTCTTAGTTTACATCATTTGTAAACAAAATCTGCCTATGCCCAAATTATTTTTAGATATGTGAGTGAGAGTGTATGCTTATACTGCATGTGTGTTTGTATGTATAATACGGGTATGTGTATAAAGACCACAAAGAACACAGACTTGATCCATAATTCTGGAGATTATGTGAAACATGATAACCTTTATTTATTGGCACTGCACATGATGATAATGTATCTGTTTATTTGGATATTGTTACAAAAACCCACACACATGAAACAGCTTATTCTATTGAAATAGCCAATATACATAAAATGCAAGTTAAGTGTACAAGCACAAACATTTTAAAAAACAAAGACAAAGTACAATGTACTAAACAATACAATCTCATACGATGTCTTATCTAACAAGACACAGATAGCAGCTGCATCATGTGTGTGAATCTAATTCAATATTCATGGTGCACAGAACAAAATCAATACCAACTGGCAATATATCTCGCCTGAACTCTATACCGTGGAAGCAATAAAAAATACATAAATTTGCGTTGGCATTGATTAAATTACAACGATACAGACTTTCTGAGATTCAGACAAATGAAGCACAATGAAAACTACGCCATTTAACCCCTTCAGTAATGAACAATTCATCATGTGTCCATCAGTTTCTACTTACATTACAATTGTTCTTAACTCCTCATGAAACATCTAGTTGTTATAAAATAAACAACTGCTCCATCTATATATAATATTTAAAAACAAATCTTTTTGTTTTTTTTTGTTTTTTTAAAGTTAAACAGGGTATAATCAGTTAAATATCTGGCAGACAAAGAGTCAATGGCAACAGTGCTATCTTCGATAGGCCTGGTGTTTGTCTCTCACAATCCTCATAAATAGAGGACCTATCCTACTGACTATAAGACAAGTTTCCTTCAATGTTCATATCTCACAGATTGCCAGTATTTGTTGCTTCTTAATTTGCAGGTGGGGTTTCCAGGTCAGGGAGATAATTCCTGCATATTGGAGAAAAGACCGATATCTGAGAAAGCATGCTTAGCATCATTTGTAGTAGAAGTGAGAGGATCGACTTCACTGCACAGGATTTTATCCCATATGGCTCAGTCTCAATTCGCAGAACAGCTAGCTGCCTGCCGAGCGTGTCGAACAAAGCACTGACCTCCATAGCTCCGGCGATGATCCCCAGGGATCTCTGTAAAAATTGCATTGGTAAATTGAACGACGCCACCATGAAACAACACATGACCTTCCGAGTGCTAGCCAAACGGCTTGACAACATCGCCATAGAGACTCCCTTATTTATAGTAAGGTAGATGAAAGACACTTAACTCTGATTCCCAAGGAACACATCATACGTTCACAGGTTCCCGCCTAGATGCCCAATGAACGCAAGATGCGCCGATTTTACATCTCTCTTGACTACTCCTTGGGCCTCTGATGCTAAACCCCCTGGAACTCAAGAGCTAAAAACAAGTAGCACATTAGGCACAGATTGCTACATCGAAATTTTAATAGACCAATCGACACTCAGTGAGCGACGTGGTAAGCCTCACCCCAGCCGCTTTTACTTTCCAGGACAATATCAAGTACTGTGGTCAGAACAGAACAAAATCAGCCAGCGGCTAGAGCGTACTAAATAAGAACAGCAGTCTACAAGACAAAAGGCTTACTAAAAACATATAGGATGCTTGGAGGGAGTAAAAGAGACACTCGAGAAATGCAATATAACATCAACACACAAAAACTACATCTAACTTCTCTCTGTGAAACAAGCAGCAGGACAAAAGAAGAAGAAGAATCTAGAACCCATTTTGGGCTGGGTAATTAGAAACTAAAGTAAAAAATTTTTTTTTTTTTAAATTTGCAATAATTGATCTGAGCCCTAAAACTTTGGCAAGCAGGGGAGCAATTAGCTGTTTTGATGAAAGCTTTAAGGTCAAAGGTCTTTCTGGTAGGCCATGATAAGACTGATGTCATGCTACACTGACGATGATGATGAATAATGTTGATACCTGATGCTGTTGTAGGAGATGGAGGTAACTCTACTGATGTTGTCAAGATCCAAACTGGCAATGTCATCCTCTGTAGTACCATCTGGTACATCACTGCTGGAGTCACTCATTGTCGCCTTCATACTGCCAAGTGATGCAGAACGTTTATGGAGATCTGAAAAAAAAATGTGCATAAAATCACCACACATTACCAACTTATTTACATACTAGCTGTACCCGGCCACACGTTGCTGTGGCCCAGAAAGATGAAATGGAAAAGAAAAAAAAAGAAAGAAAATAGCTCTTAGCTAACAGTGTCTGTCATTCCCCCCCCTCCCTCCTCCTCTCCCATCGACCCAGTCATATCTCCCTCCCTGAAGGAATTAAAAATCGTTCTTGGCGAAATTATTTTAGAAAAAAAGTTAAGAAATGAGAACTTCAAAATAATGTTTTAAGCTCTCTCAGTTAATAGTGTTTGGCGTCAACCTCCCCTCCCCCCCCCCCCACTAATCATATCATCATCCTCTCCGAAGAATGGGAAAGTCACCATCTGACGAAATATTGTAACTAAATTGAGCTTGGCATCCGTGTCCACCCGGACTAAAATGGGTAGCATTAATTTGTACTGAGAAGTACATGTGGCCAGTGTAACAGCTACCACATCACCCATATAGTACCAGACTACTGCTACAACTACCACCACCACACCACAACAACAAAATCTGTCACTACAGTATGTGTAGATCGGTGTAGCCAGAGGAGTTAGTGCCGCATGCCGTCGCCACGGACTGTTTAGTTTAATTTTGCCCCCGACATAGAAAAAAATAAAACTTTATCACCTAACCAGTGATGGAACCCACAATGAAAAGTGCACTATACTAACAAATAGCGGAGAAAAATACCCCGCACACGTTATCTCTCCCTCTCCGAAGTGAGATTTTAAACTGACCTTGGCACCTGTGTCCACCCAAACTAAATTGGACTGTAAGCCGTCTTAGTTAACAGTTTATGTCATCGTGGAATAGTTTTTGACCGAGAAGCGTCGCGGGGAGGCTAACTGGGACTACTGAAATTGGATGTCTTTGGGCGAAAGGCGTAGATATCGCAGTCTAGCTGTAAACCACAATACAACGTTTAAGGGAAAAAGGAACAATTATCACCCAGCGTGGAATCGAACACCGGTCATCTATGTAAAGGGTAGAATATTTACAACTATACTAACAAAGACAGAATTTAGGTCAGAAATCGCAGCAGAAATCACAACACAAAGTGCCGATGGCCCCCTCGAGGGCGAACGAAGATTACCCGTGACATGACCTTTGAGCATCATGTCGCCGCTATCTCAGCCTAGCCATACAGAACAACACAACATGCCAGCCGCCTAGTTAAGGGCCCCCCCCCAAAAAAAAGAAATTATATCACCTAAATTATATATAGGTCAGATATCACAGCTTAGCTTTAAACCACAACACAAAGTGCCAACGGCCCTCTCGAGGGCGAACAAAGATTACCCATGAAATGACCTTTGAGCATCATGTCGCCGCTATCGCAGCCTAGAAATACACCACAACACAACGTGCCAGCCGCCCAGTTAAGGGCCCAAAAAAAAGAAATTATATCACCTAGCGGGGAATCGAATGCGAATCACCAGCATTATAGGCAGATATCGCAGCCTAGCTGTAAACCACAACACAATGTGGCAACCAATCTTTTAAGGGAAAAAGGAACAATTATCACCCAGTGGGGAATCGAACACCGGTCATCCACGTAAAGGGTAGAATACTTACAACTATACTACCGATGACTGAAGAGTTTAGCTCAGATATCCCAGCCTAGCTGTAAACCACAACACAAAGTGCCAACAGCCCTCTCAGGGGCGAACAAAGATTACCCCTGACATGACCATTGAGTATCATGTCACCGCTATCGCAGGCTAGCGAAAAAGGCATAGAAATCGCAGCCTAGCCATACACAACAACACAACGTGCCAACCGCCCAGTTAAGGGCCAAAATAAAAAAAGAAATTAAATCACCGAGTGGGGAATCGAACGCAAGTCACCCTCATGATAGGCAGATATCGCAGTCTAGCTGTAAATCACAACACAACGTGGCAACCACCCTTTTAAGGGAAAAAGAACAATTATCACCCAGCTGGGAATCGAACACCGGCCACCCGCGTGAAGGGTAGAATACTTACAACTATACTACCGAACACTGAAGAGTTTAGGTCAGATATCGCAGCCTAGCTGTAAACCACAATACAACGTGCCAACGGCCCTCTCGAGGGCGAACGAAGATTACCCGTGACATCACGTCGCCGATGTCGCAGGCTAGCTGTAAACCCCAAAACAGAAAAAAGGGGTAGATATCGCAGCCCAGCCATAACCACAACACAACGTGCCAGTCGCCCAGTTAAGGGCTAAAAAAAAAAAGATATTATATTGCCTAGCGGGAAATCGAACGCGGGTCACTCGCATGATAGGTGGAATAGTTACAACTACACTACCAAACACTCAAGCACATACTAGAAATAAAATTATATAGTAATGCAAAGCTCAAAAAAGAGATCAGCAGTCAAAAATAGCCAATCAACTAAAAACAAATCCGGGCCGGCAACGAAACAAATAATGATTTGACCACTGCTGGAGCTTTGTTGTTCGTGGTTTGTGCGATTTTCTGAAAAAAAATCAAGCTCTGAGTCAAAGGCAACGTTGTGTGAAAATTTGAAAGCAATCGGTTTAGTAGTTTTCGAGTTTTTAGTTAACAAACTCTGAAAATTAACATTTTTATTAATATAGATTAGGCAACATTAGACTCTACAAATGTAGCAGAGTAATTCCGGTCAAAGGCATGAGGGAAAGCTAAGGCTGTTGTCTTCATCTTAGTCAAGGTTTCAAGTTCACTGCAAACGAGTTTGCCCAGCCTTGACATTTACCTAGCCTAGCCTAGGTTTTAGTTTAATTCATCATGTGATTCATGTAACTGTTGTACTACTTTTTGCAGAACAGGGCTATTGGCAACTGGTGGCCTTCGGAAGCCTTGCAAGTGACCTGTGTATCATTGCCAACCATACCGTACTGTAATATGTCTATGCTAGGTCTCTGGCCTCTGACTATCCCCAATTTCAACATTTTGGCTCTTAATTAAATTTAACTGAATAGCCCTGCTGTAGAGCATTCAGCCCACTGCTGGTCCAATATCTGTAGTCCACCTGCTGGTCCAATATCTGTAGTCCAACTGCTGGTCCAATATCTGTAGTCCAACTGCTGGTCCAATATCTGTAGTCCAACTGCTCGTCCAATATCTGTAGTCCAACTGCTGGTCCAATATCTGTAGTCCACCTGCTTGTCCAATATCTGTAGTCCAACTGCTGGTCCAATATCTGTAGTCCGCCTGCTGGTCCAATATCTGTAGTCCAACTGCTCGTCCAATATCTGTAGTCCACAAGCCTGTCAGACACTAAACGTAATCTGCTAGTGAGTTGCATGAACACTTAAAAAACAAGTTACAGAATTTAAAATTTTTTTTCTTAATTCTACATATCTCCATTAGGGTGCCCCAGACAGCAGAGCATGTACTCCAGGACTGCACCAAATTTGACACATTAAGGCAAACCTTTTGGCAAGAAAGAACAACAGTGGAACGTCAACTCTATGGACCACTGAATGAACTAACAACGACAGTGAAATTTATACAAGAGACAAAATTGCTGATATAGACAACCTATTTTAGGCGAACAAAAGTAGAAGAAGATCTCCATTATGGGGTTGGCTGCAATATATCTGCATCATCATGTGCTATGCCAGTAAGCGCAGGCTGTCATGTTTCGCATTCTCATGTGATCACCAGTATCACGGATCAGAGCAATGTTCTTGTCTGGCCCCCATCCATGTGGCCAGGCCATCCAGCTATTTGTCCCGTTGCTCTTGATATTCACAATATGCATATTATTATATGAACATAGCATGCTTTATTGATAAAATACAACTGCTGTGTGAAAGTTTGGTGCTTGGAGGGGCAGAGTGTAAGATGCGGCTGCAATCCCAATTTGTGACCCTTTGAAAATAAAGTTTGTTCATTCTCTTTCTATCAATCCTGCGGTTCTTACCAAGTTCTTGAGTCCATTACTTCTCATAACATGTCAAAAAAAAAAAATTACAATTTTTTTTAGATACTATCGTTGTCTACTTGTTCTAATGAGTTGAAGACTGAAATCTATCTCCAAGAGGATGGCTGCATTCATTTTTCTATCCCTCCATGACATTGTTTGCATTCTTGTTGAAAACCACCTCCCGCTGCAAATAAATATGTCAGCCAGTCTGATTACTGTCCATGTCTCACATGCAAATAGCAATGCCGGCAGGTTCTATATACATTGTTTTTCTAACCGCAAGCCCCACTCTGGTGTTTGTTTCTTTTTGGTAATGACTATAACCTACATTTTCATACAAGTTAGCTCTAAGCCTAGAGAGTGTGGACTTTTACTGTATCCACTAAACACTAAATGTCTATCTCCTGCCAAGGTAGGTTTTCAATGGACCAAAAAGGTGGAAATCGCTAGGGACTAAATTGATCCCTGTAAGGTCCTTGTTCACGAAATTCCCACTGAAAACCCACCTTGGCGGGAGACATGATGCAGAAGTTGAATGTGAAGTGAAAATGTGGTTTAGAAAACAGAGCATGCAATCTTATACAGCAGGTTTGGCAGAACTGATAAACCAATGGGACAAGTGCATCAATGTTGATGGAAATTACGTTGAAAAACAAAGGGACAGTGTGTGTGTAAAAATTTACTGTTTTCAAGTTGTTGTCTTTTTTTTTTTTAAAAACAACCATTTGTGACTTACTTACTGACCTCCCCTCGTACAGGGTGATGCTCTCAATTTTACTCAGCGTTTGTAACTAATATTTAATTGCTGTTGATGATTGTTTATATTATGGAACCTATCAGACATAACATTTTTGGATTTGGTTTTTTTACTATACTAGTTACAACGTTCAGTAATGTAAGTATAATTAGAGCACATTCCAGCGTTTGTAATTAACACTTAGATGATGTGAAGATTGCTTTTTTAAAAATTATTAATAACTATGAAATTATATACGATGAATAACTGTATGCAATGATTGGACTGGAGGGACAGCATGTTAGGTGGGATTAACTCTTTGAAAATAAAGGTCGTTCATTCGTAACACTGTCTAAAAGCCACATAAACTGTCTTCTCCCCCCCCACCATCCACCAACAATAGGAATTGATCCATGGTAAACGCCAAGGACCCCATTTTGAAATGATTTCACTAACCCTCCAAATCACAGCCATACACAAGAAAGTCAAACAAACATGAAACCTACCTAGCCACCCACAGAAACTACCTTCAGGGAAAGTGTGTCTGTTTTGAATGCTTCTGGTTCCACCACTTAGACCCTCTGTTCCCATGTGGGCTCCAGGGCCCCATTATGGGGAAAACAAGAACAAACCCACTACCTCCCTAACAAGCATTTCATAAAAGCTGACTTATTAGGGGTGTCATTCGAAGTCGGAGTGCATCTGCCTGGGTGGCGAGGAGCCAACAGTCTGCATACAAATAAGATGGATCTGTAAAATGGATGTGCATGCAGAAGTTAAGTTCTGGACTGACCAAAGTCTAGAAGTGGATAAACAACCAAAACAATCGGTCCGGAGTTTACAGCCAGTGAACAAGAAGAAGATGGATACGATGACTGAGTATGAAAACAGGATCAGGCTGCAAGGAAAAAGATGTGAGGCCAGACAAGAGCACTAGGTAGGAAGCTAAAGACAAATGACAAATAAACACAGAACTGGTGTTGTCAGCAACTACAGGCTGTGGGATTGACTGACCAGGGTATCCGAGCACTTAGAGACTGAATGGCTTGATATGCAATGAGGATGATCCATCAACTGACTAACTAAGCCACATGAACACTCAAAAAAAAAAAAAAAAAAAAAGCAAACAAACTTTAACATGACACCTACCTTTCTGCTTATTTGGGAAAATAATTTCAGATGCAGTCCTCTGGCTGTATTTATCAGATGACAACATGGAGTCCAGGCGACTGTTGAATGATGCCCCTGATGCAGCTACAGTGCTGATGTCCTCATGGGCAGCAAATGAAACATTCTTTGCTAAACTTGCTAGCTTCCTGGTGGGAGTACTGGACATTTGTGAAGTACTCGTTGATGAGGAGCCATTGTGAGGGTTGCATTTAGGGGAGGCAGACCGGTCAATCTGATTCAAGTGCTCATCAATTTTCTCAAACTGTCCACTGGCACCAATTTCTGAGCCCCGCCTACTGAGACGGAATCCTGTGGCAGTGCCGTTGACTCCGTGGTCTCGGAAACAATTTTCACTGGAATAGAAGTCACATTTACACAGAGACTCTGTTAGGTCAAGGATTTCACTAAGTAAACTTTGCCGCTTTCCGTTCAAGTGAATGGAAGATTCATTTAGATTTCCTTCAACTGAATCAAATGCAGCCAATGGAGCTCTGTAACGCATTGTTGTTTCACTGAGCACATTAGACTGCTGGTTATCGTAACCTTTCATGGAAGGGACTGAGTCTTGGATAACATGAGAACCTTTTGCAGTGCTTTCAGAAGCTGTGCTTATGCCCCCATCTTTATTTGATGAATCTGCCAACTGCACATTTTGTTTCAATAGAAAATCATGAATACTGCCATGAGAATCATTTGTCAAAGCATTGATGATTGTGACGGTGCCATTCTTAGCAGAAAGTCTGTCATGGTCAGTGTGGATTTTACTGCATGCTGTAGTGGGATCTTTGCTGCTTTGAGCATCATTATGATCAATAACATGCCTCTCATCTTGTCTTGAGCCAAGGCTAAGATCATGGCCACCGGACCTCAGACTGGAACCACTGTTAGGATGTTCAACTGTGTTATAAAATTCATCTGTTTGCTTCAAATGGACACTGTCTCCAGCATCATCTACAACAGTGTCTATGCTTTCTATTCCACTATCAGATGGTACCACACCAGAATTCACCAAAGTCTCATTCACATGCTCATTCACTGCATCTAGAATGGATAAGTTTGATTCAGCATCATTGCTTGTGTCATTCACTACAGCTGGCTTGGTCAAATGTTTGTCCTTTTGCTTCGTTATTCCTGCATTCCCATTTCCAGCCCTTGGTGAGTCTCTCTGCTTATGTTTGGGTCTGGTAATTTCAGAAGATGACCCTGCTGCAGTGTTCTTTGAATAACAGGCTCCCATTTTTAGCCTTTACAAGACAACATGGATCTGAAATAAAACACAAGCAGATTACAAAATTGAAGAAAAAAAATGCATTAAATTAAAAATTAAAGCAATGTTTCCCTGTGGTGAATTTTAACAAAGAAGACAAAACAATTCAGAGCCCAATTTATTGCTTGGCATATTTTGCTGTATTTCACCAGGTGCATACAACATATATGCCAGGCAATAAATTGTGCAATCTATAGTTTGTCTTTATTGTTGTAATTTTTAAAAATGTCTAAAATACAGCTGGGAGCTGCCGTAGTCTGTTGGGTTCGGATCCTGGGAAAGCTGGATTTTTTTTCAAAATTACCTTGGCTGGCAGGTTGACGTAGCCTTAAATTAGTACCAGGTAAATTCCTGGGGGAAGTAAAGGTGGCCAGCGCGATGTTGACCTGGAACCCTACCTGAGAAATTATACAGCTGTAAAACCTAGTTATGTATTTTATTCTAATTTTATTTCAGTTTTATCACAAACTGGTAACATCTGGAGATTCATTAAAGACATGGAATGAAACAACATGCAAATGAAAAAAATGCTTAAGCAAATTAATGAACATTAAATTGGGTGAATCAAGACAAGTGAAGAAATAAGAGACATGTCTGGGCAACCACTGGTATCAACAGTTATGAGACAAAGAAGATGGCAATATATTGCGAACATTACACATTATGGATAAGCCGACAGAATCACCAGTCACTGAAATGGGAAACACACAGACTGAGGAAATGAGAAAGCCCAAGAGAGACCCTGAGATGAACATTGCTGAAACAGGCCGAAGGTGCTAAACTGGATTACATATACGATTTCTTTTTCATCTTCTTCGCATTCAGTTTTGTATGCTCAGGTCAGATCATCAGGAAGGCTGACGTGTGTAAGTAAACTAAGAGAATTCCCCTCACTGAAGATTCCGTCTATTTGGCACTGAAACTCCCAACAGGTTCTGTCTCCAAAGGGTTAACGGCAAACTTTTTGTTGAAATTCAACAATAAAAAGTGCCGTTAACTTGAACTAAGAATCGACATCACAAGCACTCAGAGGGCACTCATAAGCACCCCGTACCTATTTCAGGCAGAAGTTCAGCAGAAGCGAAGAGTTCCAATTCTGGATAGCCGACACTTTTTGTATGTGTGTAAATGTATGCCATACCGTATGGTGACATCCTTTTCTGCATCATCGTAAAATATATACTTTGCGACTTGTCACAGTACCTTATTTTATTTACTTAGCTACTTTACTTTATGGGAAGTAGTAAGTACCGGCAGAACTAGAACTTTGAGAACGAAAAAAACACATTTCATCAGTTCTGTATCAGTACCGTATCACACCACAAATTGTGTGGTGTTCTATTCAAAGTCTCACAGGAATAAAAACGGGCCACATTACCTTGGCATATCTCACAGTTAACAAATATACTTGTCCACATCCACAAAACAGTGAACAAAGAAGAGAAAGAAAGTTCGTCTCCGTGCAGTGCAGATAGTGAGAGATGCTAGAAAATACTTAAACTTCGCGTCTGGAGAGCACTGCCTTGTACCGACACTACCAGGTGTTGATTGGTGATCGACACCTTTCCGTTGAACTTGAACTTTGTAGAAAACAAAAATAATAAAACTCCTTGACTTTTTCAGTCTGCTCCTGGTTGAGCGGTGACTAGATCAAGTCCGTGTGTAATGGTTGACTCTTTGGTCGTTTTGTTTCTTGGAGGCGTTTGGTTGCGCCTTGAGTTCCGATTTTCAAGCTTGGGCCTTTCCTTTCGGTTGGTGTGAAGTAGGCTGTATTGGGAGGGGAAAACTAAAAGTCCTGAGAAGGACAATTAGGGAGTGCCGGGCGTATGTTGCTTTCTGCTGAGTCTGCAGACGGGATCTTGTGGATGTTTACTGTAAGTTTGTTCTCTCCACAATTCCTTGTATTTTCCCTTGACATGTGTTTTGATTCAAGAGTCGAGACGGCTCTGGTCTGGTTTATTGTGACGCCACAAGAGTCTGTCTATTTCTCAACTGTATTTGTAGCTTCCTGCATGCATTCTTGTTTTAGTTGTTTCTTTATGTTCAGCTTGGGTCCATATGGCCAGGTCATCTGCATGGCGGGTCTTGGTAATGTGGGCCGTGAACTGTTTTTGGAGGTCATTGATGAAAGGAATGAACATAATAAGAGATATAACACCTCTCAGTTGTATGTGAAAACGTACCAAAACACAACAAAAGGTACCACACTTTTAATTTTAAACCGTCAAAACATTTGTGGGCACATACACACATATGCGCGCGAGCACACACACATGCGCGCGCACACGCACACACACACACACACACACACACACACACACACACACATATATATATATATATATATATATATATATATATATATATATATATATATATATAATAAAAGTGGCTAAACTTATGTTTGATCAGAATTGAAATTATATGTCCATTATATCACTGCTACACCAATTGTTGTCTGTTTGTTTCAAAGCTGTTGTGGCGGAGAACCACCTGCCAGTTGTCTGGTCTGCGAAACTGAAACAAAAGCGCACCTGACCAGCCACCTCAACTCGTACATTTGCATCAACAATCGCTTTACGATTATTTTCAGCACACTCACTTATTTTCTGTGTCAGAATTTTAAATATCGATGCAAAATTTCTAAAACATACTAAAACACCGTACGTGGTACCAATGTACAGTTTTGCTTGGCAAGGGTCAAACAGCATCAGATTTGAACGACCAATTTCGACAGCCCTGTAGCGAAATCAACCTTGGTCAGAACAGGACCGTCGGTAGTACTACCGACGGTCCTGGTCAAAAAACAGCTAACAAATAATTTAGTCGATCTGTGACATCGGCATTTGGGTGAGGACAAAAAAAGAAGAAAGCAGTCTCCGCTGTACTTCCCTCACACTCATTTCCTAGCTCATTCTTTGTTTTTCTTCGTGTTCAGTCTGTAAACTCCAGCGGAAAGCTCTAGTTATTCGTCCCCATATGAACTTTCCATTTCTTTAAATTCAGTTTTGCGTGCACATCCGTTTCACAGATCTGGTTTATTTATATACATACTGTTGGTCCGTGCCTCTCAGTCCAATGAAATGCAGCTGCCAAGAAAGCACCCGTTTTTAAAAAAAATGCTTGTTAGGGGTCAGTCAACCCCACCCCCCCCTCTCCCAGCACAACGGGGCACAAAATCCAAGCGGGAACTCCATCGCACACACACACCAGCGGTGTATTCAAGATCCGTACAAAATGCAGATATAAATTGGAGAAGCGGCACAACAGTTAGTTTTCTGGTCACCAGAAGCAGATCACCGTCGACGAGTATTGACTTTCGTTAAGAATTACATCATAGCAATCTCGACAGTCCCATAAGAGCTTCGTCCCCACCTACAGCAGACAGGGAAGAGCTAAAATCGCAATGGTAAAAGTAGCATTTGGAATATGTGTTCGTCTTTCCTTTCTTCTGAACATAGAATGTCGGCCAGAACTATCCACCCCCCCCCCCATTTTCCCCCAAACCCACAGGCTGCACCATTGTCTCAGATTCAAAGTGTTCTGCATTGCTCACTTTATACCAAAGAGTTTTGAGCCTATCTAACTTGTTAGGCACCACTTCTTTAATCTTGCTGCCTCTTTATTTACAACCTGCATGTGCCGAACAGAGAGAGAAAAGGAGAGAGAGAGAGAGAGAGAGAGAGAGAGAGAGAGAGAGAGAGAGAGAGAGAGAGAGAGAGAGAGAGAACGAACGAACGAACGAACGAACAAACTTTATTTTCAAAGAGTTACAAATTGGGCACGCAGGCCCGTCTGACATTCGGCCCTTCTAAGTACTCATTTTTCAGAGTACTAATATCTGTTATCAATAATGCATGTTATGGATTTAAAAAGAAATATATAATGCATACACACATCGTGTGTACGCCATCATACACACTTACACACACGTATACATACATCTACATTTTCATACAGGTGAACTCATATACAGACATACGTGATACATACACACCTGCATCTACATACATATACAAGCATACACATACACAGAAATAAATGCACAAACAAAACACACACACGTACATTTATGGATATACATGCACACACGCATTCCATATATATACATCTATACATGCACCCATGCATACACACATATACCTTTACATGTACAGACACCAACATATGCCCAAAACCACACATTTACACTTACATGAATACATACATCCACACACATGCATACATATATCCACACATTTATACCTAAACTCACATCTTTACACACATACATACCTAAATATACTTTCATATATCCACATGCATACACACACAATCACACACACATGCACACTTGCATGCTTTTATAAATACACAAACACCCACATACCTACACAGCTACATATACCTGCATACACCCACATTATACATAAATATACACACACAGATACAATCACATACTTACACATTTACATTCATACATTCTCATACATACAGACATACATAATACATACATGCACCTATATACATATACGCACACATACACATGTGTACATACATAGACTAAATCTGCATGCATACATAATACAAACATACATTGACATACAAACATAAACACACATTTACATAGACATACATGCGCGCGCGCACACACACATGCATATATACACACATCCATACATACACTCACATACTTACAAACATAAATACATACTTGCAAACACACATAAATTCACACACATACTTACACAGATACATACATACATCCACCAACATGCATACAAACACACATACGTGCATACATACACACACATAACATACATAAACACATATGCATGCATACACACATAACTAATCACACAAACAGACACCCTCATACAAACATTCACTTATATATGCCTGCATACATACATACATACATGAAACAGACACACACACAATCACACTCATATACAATCACATATACACCCATATATTTACAACCTACATAC